GTTTACGTCATTGCTGGGTAGTGCGATGGTTTGTTGTAGGCAGCGATTTATGTTTTTTGAAGCCTGATGCCATGTCATGAATACAGACAACGAGAAGCTCCAATCAATTAATCTCACTACCTCTGGCACCGTAGTCCTGATATATTCGAGTTAATCTCCTTTTGGCAGTTGGTTGACACTTGGTGATAGGGTTAGGGTGGCTTGGAAACTGATAAACAAATACAATGCAGGTCAGGAGAGCAGGAGAAACAGGTGGATGGATCTAGAATCCGGCGACCCCCGTTAAAGCGAGGCAAAGTTTCCCCTCGTTTGGAAGTTCCCAAGTCCGTTCCTCGTCCTCCTTACGTTGACTCGCGAAATGCACCTGCATTTCTGGACGAGTTTCAAATTCAAGACGCTGAGGGGATTAAGTTCATGAGGGCGTCTGGTCAGCTTGCTGCACGGGTTCGCGATTTTGCGGGAACACTGGTGAAGGTAACCCTCCTTTCACCCCCAATTTTGAACACAACTCGCCACTCCCTGTTCCCTTACTGCAACTTTGCTGCCGGTATTGTAGAATGCAATCCCTTGTCTTTAATCTAGGACTCAATATTATGATATGGTACAGGCAGGTGTGACAACGGATGAGATTGATAAAGCTGTACATCAGATGATTATCGATGCTGGTGCGTATCCCTCTCCTCTTGGCTATGGAGGCTTTCCGAAGAGTGTTTGTACTTCTGTAAACGAGTGCATTTGCCATGGCATTCCCGACTCTCGTCCTCTTGAGGTTAGCGTTTGTGGTATTTTATAATCACTTGCAGTCGTGGTTCTGTTTGAAAACTCATCTGAAGTGGCACCAATCACTTGGGTTAGCAGCATGTACTAATAATTTTAAGATCGAAAGCTGTCACTGCATATGGTGTACCCAACTATTGATGAAAGTGACGTTAATTGCATGCAGGACGGAGATATTGTCAATGTTGACGTCACGGTCTACTTAAATGTACGCGCCCTTGATTCATCAGCTGATACATAACTCTTTAGGTCTCGACTAGGGTTGCTCATGGTTTCTCTGCTGTCCTAACGCTGCCATGCTGTTAATGACCAGGGTTACCATGGGGACACTTCCAAGACTTTCTATTGTGGTAATGTTAGTGATGAAGCTAAACAGCTAGTTGAGGTGGGCCATCATATTTGCAGCTAGTTCGGCTGATGAGGCAGTCTTGATTACGTCTTGTCTTGGTCGTCGTGCTTAAAATACGTATCTAGCAATTACTTGCGGCTTTCTCTTCTGCTGTAGTTTCATCCAATTCGAACTTCTCGATCTTTATTTTCCATGTTTCGGGCTGGTTTTTTGCGGCGGTTGTGCAGTTAGATCCCCTTCCACAATTCGATTACATTTATACTATTTTATGCAAGTTTCAAGGATGTTCAGTCTGAATGCATAACATTCATGGATGTGTAGGTAACAAAGGAATCTCTTGATAAAGCAATCTCCATCTGCGGACCAGGTGTCGAGTTCAAAAAAATTGGCAGGACTATCAAGTAAGCGGAATATGTGTGATCTTAAAATGGTGCTCATCATGGCTTTCTGATTAAATTTACTTCAAAAGTGGTAAAAATAAATAAATTTCGAGTTTTTTCACACGGGTTTAGATGTATGTACACATTCATTACATCATTATCTAGCTCAAACTTTCGGGATTCTGACGTGGTTGAGTTCTGTTGTGTGTTTGTTGCAGTGAAATAGCTGATAAGCACGGCTATGGTGTAGTAGAGCATTTTGTAGGTCATGGTGTTGGAAAAGTTTTTCATTCTGCTCCCTCCATTTTGCACAATCGTGAGTTATTTAATTCTTCATATTTTTTTTCAATTTGCGTGTGGTCAGTAAATACTTTAAATACTTTTTTCGAATGTCAGAGTGAGCTGTTAGGTGAAAACATGTGTTCGAATACTTCCAAGGAAGTACGGGGAATTATTTTGCCTATCGGGTAGGTTTTGGCTGTTACTTACAGTTGATTACGTATGGTTGTTATTAGGTAATAATCAACCTGGACAGATGGTAGTTGGACAGACATTCACTATTGGTATGTTTCTTCTCAATCGGTATTACATTATTTTTATTAATAGGTGTGGTCTCCCAATTAGTTTATTTCTAAAAAGCAAATCAAAGTGAAAAAGATACTGGTACACCTGTATTACCCTTTGGTTTAGTCTGGATCTTATGCTCATAGGGTATTTTTCAATCAGTCGCTCAGAATCCTGGCACTTTTGTCTCATTGTCTTGCTCGTTCACTCATTACCTCTTGATATATTTAAGATCTATTGTTTATCCTGTGCAGAGCCTATGCTGACAGAAGGGAGCATAAGGGACGTGATGTGGAACGACAACTGGACGTGTGTGACAGAAGACGGTGGTTTATCAGCACAATTTGAACACAGCCTTTTAATTACTGAATCGGGTGTAGAAATTCTTACCCTGTGACAGGGTGCCCGTGTAGACCTTCTACAAACTTTTTCTTGTTTATTCCTTCTGGGACCACTTACCACAACCTGTATTCTTAATGTTCAATTTACGTCCAGCCGTCTACCGAACTGGAATCAAACAGGTTTTTCCTAGTTCCTTGTTAGCTGGGCGCTCCTCGATTTGTCAAGTAAAAAGATACCAAGGCAATGAAAGCATTTTATATGATCTCTTACAGTGGCTTGAGATCATACAATCATGAATTTCGTACAACTCCAACCCAGTGGCTCGAATGATTCTTGCACTCACAATGGTCATGAAGGGGAACACTTTTTTCCACTAATGTAGTAGGGATTTCATATTTTCCTCGGTTAGGCACTGTGCATGCTGCCATTACATGTTCACGGGTATTAAGGCAGTCAAAGTACAGGTGGTAGCTAAATTCTGCAAAGCTAAGGCACTCCCTGTAGTGTTGTGCTGAGAACAGTGGGGGTCTAGAGCCTATCTCCTTGTGACGGTAGAAAAAGTGGAATATTGTACGCACTGGACTTTCGGTTGTTGAAAGTCATCCTTGACTTCTCTAAAGCCAGGAATGATTTATCAGTAGTTGGAATCATATTGCTTTTAATTCTTTAATACTCAAAGATAGAACACAGTACTTTGGATCCTGGACTTGCTGCCTATGAAGGATAAGCTGTTTAATTCTATGACAACTTCACTGGAAGTCTCCCGAAAATCTCTTAGATGCTGCTCATAATCAACGTTTTCCAAACAGTTCTAAGTGAAGGTACTCAGACGAGCTTTCTTTGCATGAACATTCTTCCAATTCATTAGAGTAAATGATCTTATCTCCTACCTACGTCATTCATTACCAAATTTTTGAATCCATCAAATTCTGATGGTTAGATCTCTCAACAACTCACCAAAATTCTTGAATAACTTCATGATTCCAGACAGACCCATGTTCCCTGATCAGTATTTGTTTCCCTGTTCTTTCTCTGACACAAACCTATTTAACCTGATGTATTATATCTCACACTTCAAGCTGGGGTTTACGAACTACAACTACCACCGTATCCACTCCTTTATATATATATATATATATTCTTGTGAATATAAAAATACTCCCAGGTACAGAAGACATGCTCCACAAAGCCCTGACAAAAAGAGAAAATAGCCCCGCCAGTGTGCTGAGTTTTGTAACATCAAGTCACCAGAAAAGGATCTATGTTTATGACCATGTAAAAATAAAAAAATAAAAAAAAATGTTGGGTATTACAACTTAAGACTCAAATAGCACTTTAATGAACAATGGAGAGTTTCAACCCTCGTATAACTAACTCAAAAATCTTCCTGAAGTGACAACTACGTTCTGAATCAAAATGAACTATGGTTCCGAACCACGTGATTGAATCTAAACCCTTTTGCTGAAAATGGGAAAAATGTGTTGCTCTGTTGAACTTTTTAGAACATCGTTGTTGAAATACATGTCTATTAAAAAATAACTTTAAAATCAGAGGATAAGGGAGAAAAAGTCTCCAAGTTTTGAACACCGTAAAAATCAGCTAATCAAACGAAAAAAAAAAAAAAAAAAGGCCAAAGAGAATGAGCGAACACACACACACACACACACACACACATATATATATATATATATATATATGCAATATTCATACTCACACAATTACAGACTAAGCACCAATAATCTAAAAATAAAACAGTCACAATGGATGAATAAGCTAAACCATCCACTAAATGATCAGTGGGGGATGAATGACGTTTTGCCAGCATGGAAGCTGACCAATTGACTAGCATCCGTTCTTACGAAAAAGCTCAACAAGTGAACGAAAAAATTAAATTAGAAAAAGAAACTGAAAACGTATAATAACGGAAGCTTGGATGGAATATATATCTATAAATGTAAAGATATCCGTAGAGATAGGTGACTTTTCAAAAGGATACCAAAAAAGGAATAGAAATAAGTCCCACACACCCCCCCCCTTTCAAAAAAGTGCACCGCAGCGGGTTGCGAAATCGCGGGGCGAAGCCGAGCTCACATCCGCCCGGCCCGACCCGTCTCGCGTCCCCCCCACGGATCGACGACAGATTGGTGGAGAGTTATTGTCCACGTGGTGGTGCTGACATGGCTCGATAAACCCCCGTGCTTAGCTGGCACTCGAGGCAGGATCTTTCCAGCCTGGAAAGGAGGTAATGTACTGGAACTTGTTTGGTCGGTTCCTCCTGGGTGCGTTCTCTAAGTGATTGGAACGTGGGAACGACAATAGAGCGATGTTCGCGTCTGACTGACTGCTGGTGCCGAAGTCGGCCATTGTGAATTGATACCCTCGATATCGGAGTTGATAACTGGCATGGGAGTTCGCGAAGTTGTTGCTTGTGGGACCTCTTCTCATATTTCTGTTAAAGAACCAAATATATACAGCATGGAATTACACGAAGTTTGGTTAAATTCTAAGATTCGATATCTGTTGTATGTGCGAATTTTCATTTTTTTGAACACGCTATAAAAACAATTGCTAAGAACATGTGTGTTTTATGGTGTTCTCATTTCAATTACATGGATTCTAATTTGGTAATATCTTTTTGCTTTATTTTCATTTGATTGTAAGAAAGTAACAGTCGTTGGGGTTGTTTATAATCCAAAAGTTAAAATTTTACGAGTTCGAGAATTTGGGTTGTTTGAGAATTTGGTTGCGCTATATTTTTCCGGTTGTTTTCTTCAACCCTTGAATTCTATAACCAGCAATTCCAATAAAATATATATATATTTATAGTTAAACATAATGTGAATCATCACTACAATGGTTTATTATTTCAGTATATAAACACATCACGATGAAATATCAAAGTGAAAGCAAGCTTTAAAATCCATTGTATGTACCCAAAAAAAACCATTACCCACAAAACAAAATTCAATTTCTTGCTGATAAAACTGAACCCTAATCATTTTATCAAAATCAACTAATGACTCAGAAAAAAGAGAGCAAGAAGAGAACATCAATGACAGGTTATAATATTGTAAATTTGATTACAAACAAGTATTCCGTTTTTTTTATTTTCTTCTTTTGTTAAATTCAAATATTCAGAAGCATCGTTTTAAGTATTTTAAAAACTAAGACAAAATTGTCCCAAAGAACCATTTAACGAAGTTTGTGTCTGTCATTAATGAACAGTTCTTTTGGGTTTTAATCGAGTAAATAAAAAGTAATCCTCGGATAATGACTTGAAGTAGGACACATTTAGAATATTTCGTGACGCAGCTTAATTCAAATCCCAACTCGAACAATCAACATTTGTTTCACAAAAAACAATAACAAATCAACTGGCTACGTGTATGCAACTCCAGGGCATGTTGTCTCGATTGTTCACAATCTAATAATAATAAAAAAGTTGCAAAGCAAAACCACACGGACATATCTTCCCATACCTGTAAACATTTAGTTATTATTATTATTATTATTATCACCAACCTTCAAAACAAGCCGAGGAAGTTGTGTTCAACCAATCAAGCGTGGAACCAAGGGGCTCCAAGGATCAAAAGGGCTGTCGGCCCCACTCTCTTATTGGCAACACCCCTCCTGGAAGAAGAACGAATGAAACAAATATCGCATAACATTCATCCGATTCAACGAAGACGGGAAAGTAAAAAGGCAAGTCCCTGTGGGCATCGAAAAGAATTGCGTCATTGGGTGGCAAAGTTGGAAAGTAACCGGGGGACTTACACCAAAGGCAGCGCCAAGCCAGGACAGCCACAACCCTCTCCTAACCTACGTGGAGCTTGGCCCAACGTGATCGCCACGTCATCCCCACTGCCTACCTGGATGCCAACTCAGGCGGTCGTTCACCACTATGTCAGCTGGGACGCATTTGTGGACCCGCGCGCTCTTGGTGAGGGAATCAGTTTTAGTATTAGTAAGATAATTATTTTTGAATAAAGAGTCATGTTCGCTCATCCACACATTGACTTCGCATTCGAACGAATTAATATTTTTTACTCATTTATTTATTCCTCAAGGGAGCGAGAAATTATGAAGTCAAGAGTGAAGTCACCCCAGCTCATTCCATATAAAAAAACCCTCAGTAATCAACAGTTTTTATGACCTACACTGAATGAATTCATTATTAAAAAAAATCAAGCGCTTTATCTACACTAATTAGGTCCGTTGACTAACCTTCCGTCGTGATTCGCAAGGCTGACTCCCTCCATCGAATAAAGCTCTGTCGTCCCCCCCTAAAACCGGACACTTGCTCTGGCTCCCCCTATTTCTCTCCCTGCGGAGTCGAGTTGTGACTTCTTGGGTCATTCTGGGGCAGCTTTTGCGAAAAAGAGAGACGCGCTCCGCAAACTTTACCCAGCCAGACCATCGCGCTCTGGTCGATCAGGCTCGGAGCCCACGCTATGTTCACGTGGCGCTCCGCACTTGGCACCAGAGTAGTGGATGCGTGGTCCGGGTACCCGGACCCATTCGCTTGTCGTTTTTCTAAAGTGCTTTTAAGTTTGTGCTTTCAGATTTTGGGAGGTTAAGTTATTCCCCCTCGCCAGACTCTGGTCAGCCCGCATGGCCCCGTGATTGTGGGTTAATGCGTTGGGACGTGATTTGAAATGGGGGCTTTCGGGGGGGGGGGGGCTGCAACACAGGAATTTGGCAGTGGGTTGGTGACGGAGGGCTTGAGTAATACTGGCAGAAGCTACAAAACCCACTTCACCCCCTTTGTTTTGTTTTTTCCCCCTAGATTCTACGAAATTCTCATTTACATTATACCACTGAGGTTTGCGGTATGTATGCATCGGTGTTATTATGGAATTTGATCCAAACAAGATAATGGAAAAAAGGCTTTTTCAACATCTTCGTTGGCCAAGTGGCGGCCAGGCAGATCTATTTTCTAAAAGCTTCAGGCTCCAGGTGCCTCACCCTCCTCTGCAAGTGGGGGTTCTTGCTCCGCTCCTGCTTTCATTCTGCACCATGGAAGGGGCCCAATCTGATGACTCTTCCGCGGCAGAATATGTCCCAGGAAAAAGGAAAGATCTTCTGTGTTGTCTCAGAGAAAGTAGCTCCCTTTGAGCATATCTGAAAGGAGTGGTTTCCTTTTCCTACGTGTATCTCCATAATATCTCCTACATATTTGTCTATTTTAAGCATTTCTGTATGAGGGGGGGGGACAAGGCCATTGTGTGAGATTGCAGTGGGACAGGAGCCTGTGGTCACAAACCCCAAAAACAAATAGAAAAAAAAGTAAAAGGGAACACATCGACTGGAGAACAACCTTTTTTTCCTCGAAAAGAACACTTTAAAGGGTTGTTTAGGTGCAACAACAAATGTCCAGACATTGCAAGGCTCTTGTTCACCCTTTGCACATTCTCTATATCTCTTTGAGAGTTTGGGATCTAAGCTATGGGTTTCCTCAACTCTAATTTTATCTAGAAATTTGTCTCTAAGTGAACATTTGTGCACAAAAAGTAGAGGTATTCTCTCTCTCTCTCGCTCTCTTTCTCTCATCCACCTTTAATGTGATGTAAGAGAGTTGAAGATACCCAAATGGGTTAACTTGCTTCCTGTGCCCATGAAAAGTGCCATGATACTTTTGTTCTTCCGTTCCCAAGCTGAATGAAAGAAAGAATAAAAGAGTAAGAGGAGGCTTGATACTTGAAGTGAGATTCCAGATACAAACCTTCAAATTTAGTAAAGCTGCCTGGTTTCTTACAATACATGTACGCCTGATTGAACTCACCTTATCTCATACTTCAATCCCAAATTAAGATCATGTCAGCTGAGCTCTTGAGAGTGCAAGAATGAAGCAACAGACAACCATCTTAATTTTGATTCAACAAAATTTATAATTTTATAATGAAAAAAATAATAATAATTTCATGCTTTAAACTTGGTCAGTGCCATAAGTGCAATTACAAGATGCCTCGAGGTATGATTACCTTAACCACAGTCACTTCAAATCTATGGGAACCTCATCTACAAATTAGGTTTCAAGACCAAAAATCCACAGCGACAGTTCTCCAAGATAACCGTTTCACATGCTCGAGCTTAATTTCTCGCATCGTCCAACGTCGTGAGAATATGCACATATGCTTCCATTTCATCCGGTGGCGCAAAGGTTGAGTCATGTCAACGCCATGAATCCAAAAGAGTAAATTGCGATAACCCCACGTAACCCAGGCTGGCAGAAAAGAAAAGGAGGCGTCGAAAGGAGGTGGTGACGGGGATAGAGGAGGTATCTATTCGTGAGCGTGGGGTGGTCCACCAACTGACGATGTCGCAATCTTTTTATCTCGATCCACGAATCCACGAGGCGTTAATTACTGTAGTCGTGTATATCTTTCACGGCAGCTTAAAGATCAGACTTAAGTGAACCCAATGTCCACCAAACCGCGGGGATACTATATGTCCTGAATTCATGGACGAATAAAGTGCCGGATTTAACACGGGCCGAATGAAAAAGGCAGTCCAGAATGGAATCAGTTTACCCTCCTAAACAGGTTTAAGATTCCAGCGAAACATGAAACGCTAAAAATGAGTCTCGACGTCATCCATGCACGAAACCCATCCAAATAATGTGGCCCCAAATTGGAAAAGATCATGGATCTGGAATGCTAACCAGATTGGTCGGCCCGATCCGGTCGTATAACGTTTACACGGCGCTCTGCCAACTTGGTGCTTTTTAGTTGCTTTTTCTGGGAGCGTGCTGAAGTGGACTAGGAAAAGCGGAAGGTGATGGATCTGATGGGGCAAATGGGAAGATCCCGGGACTGAAAAGCTAGGGGTGGGTGCGTGCTGAGTCGGCACAAGAATTTGTTCAAGTTGGGCGACATGTGTGGCTAACCACATGATTATCTGTGGCCATCACTTTAGTTCCATTGCTCCAGAGGAGTTGCTCCACCACACTTTTATGCAATCGTTGAATTTACTCGAGATGGGGTAGGACTTGGCTCCAGACCTCTACACAGGAACCTCGATTGTACTCTAGTGATGCTTGGGGACCTGGTGGCAAGTCATTTGGACCCTGTGGTGTATTCATTCTGAGGTCTGGTGACAGTTCCCCAACTGGTATAACTTGTTGATTACATGACTTCTTTGCATTCTCGGAGCTTGCAACCATCCTTTTATCAATGATACGCGAGGAATCTTATGAAACTCCAGCACCAGGTTCAAGAGATCTATGAGCAGAGCAGCATGAAGGCTCCCCCACAAAGGCCACCACCATGCCACCTCTTCTTATGTTCCCTGGGTCTAACTTTTTGACCCATATGAACAGACACCCAATTGGCCTGTAAATGTCAAAGGCCCTTTTGCTGGTTCAAAATTATGGGCATTATTAAAAGAAGTATGCATGCACCAGATTATAAATTTGTTTATCCCATTCCATTCCATGTATTATCATTATCTTATACCTGTTTACTGTTCGGAAACCCACAAGTGTTGCCCCATTGTTTCCAACAAAATTAAGTCCCAACCATGAAACAGTTCATGAAGACTTTGTGAAAGGAGAGAGCATTCATTTCCCATTAACTAATGTATTTCTGAATGGGGAGGGTACCTTTTTAGAGGCCCAGCATGCTGATCATGGTGTCTGAGGGAGGGGAAATCTGTTGGAGGGCAAGGGTTGGCTGTCCAAAAGGGCTGTGTGTGTCTCTATCTTGTGCTGCACTGTAAAGGAGTCCCATAAAGCCAACTTTCACATGGGTGTGTATCCACAATGTTCTCTTTTCACATGGGCTTGATAATAATATTATTACCCATTATTCCCTTTTGTGCTTCCTGCTCTGGATAACTTGTGGAGGAGGTCCCATGCCATGTAGGCAAACTGTTTTTCTGAAATTTTTGTATACCACACTCCTCTGCCCTGCTGCCCCACCCCCCCCCCCTGCCTGAGAGATGGATGATGTCCAACATTGTAAACAATATTTATGTCAGGCAAAAGTTTTGGGGAACTCCCCCCCCATCCCCATTCAGCATTAACCATCTCTAGCATGCACCCAGTAGCATCCCTCCCTTTGCCAGTGTGAGAGAGAGGGAATCCATATATTAAACATGTGCAAAAATATATATATTAAAAACTAAAAATAATAGCTAAATAAAGTAGCACATAGAGAAGAAAGAAGTGAAGAAAGAACTGAGATGTGATACTTTTTTCTCACTTTGTTTGTGCTGCAGAGGTGTTTGTCTTCATTGAGATGGGGCTTTGAGGTGACTTATCAAATGAAGCTGGAATTAAGAAGGGGATGTGTGATAAGTGAGTGCATGCATAAGGTGCTGGGGCAGGCAAGTTAAAAGTGATGGAAATAGAGCAAAAAGGAAAAGGCACCATGGGAGAGACCACCAAAGGCTCCCAAGCAAGCTCAGCCATATACTTTCATGTGGCCTGCCTTTCCACAAAAGCCTTTTGGAATGTGTGAGTGCAAGAGAATGCCATTGGGATCATCTCCTATCCCTATTATTATGATGACTCTTCTCTACAAAAAAATTCATGCTTTTGGAATTCTCATTCATTTGCCCCCACCCCAAAAAAAAATGAAAAACCAATGACTACATGAAAATAAATTCAAGTGAAACAACATCTATTACATGGCTTTGAATGGTTTTATCTAATTTGGAATATTACCTCATGTCCTCATTATATTAATCCTTTGGGGATGCATCAAAGCTTGTAGGAATATGTTTTTAGTTTCTTAAATTTTGTGGGAGGGGGGGGGTGTGGGTGTGGGCATAGGACTAGATATTAGAAGTTTACATTTTGGGGAGGAAAAGATAGAAATAAAGAATGAAAGGGGAGGGAAAAGGGGGAGTTAAGGAATGGACTGTGCATGCTGGTGCTTTGTGAAAAAAGCAGAAAGTATGTGTTGAGAGCAATGCAAAAAGGAGCAAAAAAATGTGGGTGGCACCCACTTGAAAAAAACCCATTTTTTTCCAATAAAAATAAAACAGCATAAAGTATATATTTTTTCCTTGTCTCTAATGTCACATCTCTTCAGTTTCCAAAGGGCTTCCTCCCATTTGCTTGGCATCTGAAGCAAGGGCCCAAGCTGCCCTTTAGCCACAAGCTCAACAGAGGCATGGGCACACACATCACAACATACAAAATATACCCTCAAAAAGTGACTTGGGATGTCCATGAACTAAACTCACTCTACTACTACTACTATTATTATTATTATTATTAGAATTGTTACCATTCATTTTAGAAATAATTCCATAAGGCTTTGGAGCAGACATAGAGCACAGTCTGGTAGAGGTTAGGAAGATGATGTGGGGTTCCAAGCTGGCAAGGCATTAAAACTCTAATGACTTGGTCCAGTGGGAATGGTGGTTTTGTTACTCTCTGAATAAGTACAGACTATGTGTCCATCCAATTTTCATCCAAAAACAAATGAAACATTCTCATATTGATACCCATTCATTCATCCAAACAAACTGCTGCTGCTGCTATGTTTTATCGGGCTTCATGTAGTTGAAGAGACTTGGATTTTATTTATTTATTTATTTATTTATTAATTTTCCTCATTCCAATCCAATCACCAAACGCAGTAGCAGCCAGGGCTGAATGGAAGTTAGGGGGAGCCAACAACAACAAGCTCATCGCTATGCTGAGGACAAGACTGGAAAAAACAAACACAACAAACGGATGAAAGTACCGTCCCAAAAAGTCATTGAAGCGAACAGAATCCGATTCCACCTCAGCTTTACATATTACCATAATAGTCGTAAGAATTGTTTTCCCCCCTGCCCTTGCGGTTTCTGCCCGCGAAATAAAAAAGCCCCTGAATGGGGAGGGAAATGGAGTCCTCCCCCTCCACCAGGGGGCCACGCGGCGACCGCTCATAACTCCATACCCCTTAAGCGTGGTCCCACAGGGGGGGTGGGTCCTAATACCCGTGGAGGACCCCACCTCCGCTGCAGCGAGTGAGAGTGCCTTTATGCTTTTTCCCCTCTACCACGAGCTTGCGCTGTTGCCCTCATATGGTTGCAAGGCCTCACTTCCATTCTTCTTCCGTCTTCGTCTTCTAGTATTCGCCCCTCACATACCCTCCCTTCCATCAAGCGTTACCTCGCCTCACCCAACCAAACCGTCTCTCGCCCTCTTCCCACTTCTCCGATTGCTCTCTCTCTCTCTCGCTCTCTCTGTCTTTCTGCGTTGCTCACTTAACCGAAGTTGTATTTGGATTCAGTTGCGTTTTTCGGAGTTCTCTACGCGCGCATGTGTGTTATCGCGCTTGGCTTTCTGTGTCTATATTCCTGTGCTGGTTCTACTGGTAAATTCATTGGACTGAACACCGGGGTGTTTGTCATCAGTTGTCGTAGGAAAAGGCTTGCGGCAGGTTTTGCCCCGTGAGTTTGACGTGGAAGTTTGAGAGGCGCGTTGGTTTTTGAGTGGAAGCAGCAACTGTGGAGGAAACTAGGGGGAGAAGCGCGCAAAGAAGTAGAAGTAGGATTCAGGTTGCAGGTGGACAGGGGTGTGAGACCAGTGAATGAGGAGGTTGTTGAGCACGTAGCCGCAGAGTCACTCGGTTCACCTTCTTGGCCATGTCGAAGTTAAGGAAGTGGATGATGAAAGAGGAGAGGGAAAACTCCGCCGGGAGCGCGGACACAAGCGCCATTAAGCTGTTTGGTAAGACGATTGCCGTGAACAGCGGGGTGAGTGATTCGCAGGAGACCTCCACGAAAGCCGGAACATCAGCCGATGCCGCTGTCGTGCATCCCTGCGCCTCTCAGGTAGAGTTTTCGGTCTTTCATCAATATTCTTGATACCTTTTGGAGTGCTTGACTTGAAGCCGCAGCGATCGAGAGATCAGTCACGGAGTTGTTGTTGATTGTGGTGAGTTCATGTTGTGGTGTGTAGGCTGGTAGCGAAGAGGTGGACGGTGCATCCACGCAGTCGGAAGCGGATGAGATGGGGAGTTCCATATGCAATGAAATTCGAAATGTCGAGGCTCCCAAGGATGCTCCGCAGGAATCGCAAGTCTCCTCTGAGAAGCTCGCTTCAGAAACAATGACTGTATCGACATCCATTCAAGCACCGGCCGCTGCGGTAGCACAAGAGAAGCAGCGTCCCTTGACTGTTGAGGAGAAAAAGGAGCAATGTGTACGCAAGCCTGACAAATTGATACCGTGCCCTAGGTGCGATAGCCTTGACACGAAGTTCTGCTATTACAACAATTACAACATCAATCAACCCCGTCATTTCTGCAAGAGCTGCCAGCGTTACTGGACTGCTGGTGGCACACTACGAAATGTCTTAGTGGGGGCAGGGCGCCGGAAGAATAAGTATGGGTCGAGTCAGATGAAACAGGAAGCGTCTGAGGGTGTAAATTCTGGCATCACTACTGTCCGGCTTGATCACCATGAAGGGGCACAGCCGATGCTACCCTGTGCTATCAACCCTTACGGTCTCAAAGTACCGCCAATGAACATACCCCAGCTTGCTGCTTCCTGCGCTTCGAGACAAGCTTCAGAGGCTCAAAGCACGGTCACCTCATGTGGCAAGGAGAGTAATAAGGTGTTCACTTCAGCCTCCGCTTTCAAGCCTGCAGGGCCCGATGTTTCCAATGATTCAGTGTCCAAGCTGCGGCAGAGGACGAGGACGGACACTCCGGAGGGGAAAGATGTTTCGAGCCCGGGGTCTAGCCCTTTTGTATCTGAATCACCCACCAGCCATGTCTTGACTTCAAGAGTGCAACCTCAGCAGCAAGAAGTGCAACAGCAAGCGATGTGGACGAAGAGCAATCCCCAGCTTGGATTTTTCAATGGTGCGTGGCCTTATGGGTACAGCATTGGCTGGAGCGGTGCAGGACCGATTCATGGCACTCCTGCGATGTGTAGCCCGCATCCGGCCTCCTCGGGAACCACTTCTCCACCCTCGGGAATGTGTCCAACTCCCGGGAATGTGTGGACTGGTTTATGGGCATCAGGGATGCCTGGGATGCCGCAGGGGATGGCTAGTATGTCTGGAATGTCTGGCGTTTCGGCCATGCCGTTTGGGTGGAACATGTGCCCAGGAGGGTGGACGTTGCCATGGCGGCCTGTGCCTGCCGTTGCAGTGCAAGGTTCTGCTGATGTTGTGGTTGTAAATTCTGGGGGCTTTCGCAAAAGGGACGGTGCCAACGATGAAGGTGTGAGGAAGATGGCGAGGATAGGGAGTCCGGAAGAGGTTGTGGTGTGATCTTTGCATTCTTTGCAGTTAAGAAAGGTTGAAGTCTTGCAACAGACTGAATTGAGAAACAGAGATGGGGAGGTGACCTGGAGGCTCTGCTTGTTTGGTTTAGATTATGAAGACGAGCACATGCTTTCGGAAGGAGGTCGGGAGGAGTACATAGCGGTAGAGATTAGTGTAAACTACTCCTTAATAAGTCTTCAAATGATTCTTAGCTCTGAGGCCATAGTTTTTTTGCTTTTTTTGCCCTTTTTTTGCCTTTTCTTTTTCTTTTTCTTCCCTCTTCTTTTCCCGAGACGATCGTCCGATCTTTTATAGTTGGATATATTGTAACATGAAATTGCATACTATTTCATCACCATGTTATTGCATTCCAATCCTCTACAGTCGCTCTGTTTTTAACTGTTTTGATAGGTGTTGTGTTTTTTTGAGATGGTTTGTTGCGCAGGCCTTGGTATTACATGTGTGTTGGAATGTATTCTTTGCCACGATGCATAGCTCTTGTCTTGCTGTGGTGTGCATGAATGGGAAACAGATGCATCCTCGTACACATGATTGACTTTGCTTCCGAGTATACTGGACTACAGATTCAAAACTTGCAGTGTTCACACACTCGAGTACTCGGTGATGTCGAACATACTCGGGTTTTTTCTGTTCTTCTCTGGGCATCGGAATCCAGTTGAGTCTGTCACTCTGATCAAATCCATACTTACCGACGATGATGCATCCTTTATCATTCTGCATTGCAGAAGCAGCCAAGTCATTACCTTTTTACCACTTTTTTGAGCTTTCGTCAGGTTGCAGTTTGTGCTGCACTTCTCAGGGATTTGATTCATATCTTTCTGACTCGTCGATACGCGCACCCGTCACCCATTTAAACCCCAGCCGCTTCGCACCAACAACCACAATCAACACTCATTTACCATAACCCCACCTTCTGCACCCACACAAGTTCCCATCACGGTTCAGTCGATGCAGCCTTACGAATTCACCCACTCGTGCGCTTAGTTACCAAAATGACCAACACTACAATCCCACACTCTAATTACGCATACCGAAACCGCAACATCATGGCCCCTCCTACTCTAACTTCTACTCTAAAGAGAAACAAATTCTAATTAAGAAAACGGTAGAAATCTATCGACTCGGTCTGTCTAAACTGAGGAAAGCTTCCCTCGTGGGCGCTCATCATTACATCCATGCCATGGCTCATTATTCCTAACACTATTGGAGTCTTTCCTCTGGCTTTTCACGTGGATGCCTCCTAAGTGGGGCCTTATTTTAACTGTATCCAGGGCCTTATTATGATGCGTTTTCTGCCCTCTCCTGCAGCAAGCTTATTATTGCAAAGAGGCTATTGGTGAGTGAATAAATAAGCTCAGATCGGTCGCATTGGTGATGCCTAGGGCTAAAATGAAAACACCAACTTCCATAGTTGTGTGACATGAAGTTGAATTCTTTTTGGGAGCTTCTGTTGATACATCACTCACCTGCTTCAGTTGGGGCCAAACCTCATTTCCTCCTTATGGTGAATCCACCCTAGGTGTGACTGACACGTGTCACTATGTGATACGTAGTAAAATGTGTAACTGTAGTTTCTGATTCTCTCTCACTATATTTACACATTTATTTATAAATGAGAATAGAGTAATTTTTCAATCTAAAGTTTCTTTTTTGTATATTTTTGTTTGGTTTTACTGCATGGTTGATTAGAAGTATATTTTAAAAACTAATGCTTTTGAAGAGTCGTAGATCGATTAATGTGGGTATGCACGTGTGCTTGCTCAAAAGAAGAACCATAGTTCCTACGATTCTCCTTAGATGTCAAATAACTGTTCCCGTTGCGCAGTCATGGATGAAAGTGGGTTGGACTATCGGTACTCCACTAGGTCGATAAAGTCTCGTTTTTTGTTCATTTTTGTTTCGTTTCGTTTTGTTTTTTTTTTCTTACTCTATTTTGAGAAACTCGAAAGAAGAAAACACAAGAGAAGGAATTCACGAGATTAATTCCGAGGACATTAAACTGGCCGAGGGTAGAATATTGTACAATTCCTTCAACAAAACAGAGCTTGTGGGTTTCCGAGAATGTGAAGGCAAAATGAGAGCACACCAGTCTCGGCGAATGAAAGGGCTCTGCCAACTCAGCATGTGCAGCCTTGCACACAGGGGATGACTCATCCACGGCAATAGTGGACTGGAGTTCACGGTGGGCCAGGGATCTGCAGACGTGGCGACTGTACGGGAAGCCCAATCCAGCAACACTGGAGGGTGGTAGTTGGCTGACGTAGCGGATTACGTATACGTGTATTCTCAAATTAGGTCATACGTGTTTCCAGTTAATTTTTATCCACATGCACAACACAACTATTTACTCCAGTTAATACATGTAATCGTTGGTAGGCTGGTGAGATCAAATCCCAGTCGTAGCTCTCACTAATGTTCCTATTAGCATAATAATTAAAAAAAACAAAAAATTAAGTGTTAAATTCGCATGCAATTTAACCTGCCTGTGGTGGCATGCTGACATGGCAGGTGCATTGTTAAAGGTGATGCTCCGGTCATGTTGGCAAATTAAATTAACAAAAAAAAAAGTCTTTTTACATGCGTTTCCAGCCATGGGGAAATATAAATATGAATAAATAAATAGATAAATTTATCAAATTGAGCATGGAATTAAAGATCAGTGACCCTCCGTATTAAAATAAGCAACACATTTTGAGCTATATATATATACACACACATATAAATCTATTGTTTGTTTTGGATATTCTAAGGCCATTAATACCTCAATTACATCCACTAGACTTGAGATGATGACTCCATTCGGTTGTTTTCCTGACATCTATTTCTTGTCTAATAAACTATTTCTGTGTACGTGTATGCGTACAAACATGTAAAATAATACAGAACAAAAATGAATGAATAGATCCTTTTTTATTTTATTTTGAGGATTGACCTGGGCCACCCAATAATTTATTGACACATGTCATGCACACTTATCGAGGTCCAATCACACTAAGTCTGGGATACATGTCATAGAACCATGCTGACTTGTCACACTCTGAGTGGCAGAGGTTGATTGTGGGCTCTTTTTACATGCGTTTTCGAAAAAGTAACTTTATGGAGTCATGCCTTTTTTAGGGTATAGTGTGTTGTGGATCCACCATTTCCTAGTAAACCCCAGAAAAAAGGAAAGGAATGAGGATATTACCTGCATCTCACTGATTATTCCTTCCTTGAAAAAGGAACAACAATGCTTTTTGGTAAAGCAACTAATTGTTTTGCATCTAACAATGGGGTAAGTGAATTATTCATATTTATGGGTAGGAAATTAGATGTTTTTCTATTGCTTGCTTATAATTTATTTCATATATTTTATAAATATGTTTGGAAAAACATACAATCTTATTTATTTCATTTTCAGAATATCTTTAATAATAATGTATACTATATTATTTTTTTTATAAAATTTATAATTTTTTAACAAAAAATAATATGTAACATACGTACATGATGATGGCAAAGAATTTTGATATATATATATATATATATATATATATACACATATGCACACTCACTCACGCACACATATGTTTGAATGAACAAAGATTTAATTTAATTTTAATCCAAATTATTTAATTATTGAATGGGTGAGTTGTAAATTTTATTTTATTAAATTCACTTGTTTAGTTAGTAAATGAACTTTTTACAAGTCGCCTCCATTGTATCCAAAGAATGTGGGTTTTATTTTTGTGAAGTAGAAGAGCGTGTAAAGACAGAAACTTGTAAATGAATGTTTGCATTTAATTGGTAATAATTTTAGGGCTATATTTTGTCTTAAAAAACTCTTCTGATAGTGTTAATAATAAAGTTGATTATTAATATTATAATTTTGTTTTACTCAAATCTATTACAGTTGTTGTGTTAATATTAACTTCCATAAAATGATTCCAAAAGCAAAGTTCATTTGACACAACTTGGTTTACTATGTTCTTATATGAAAAATATATTGATAGTTTAATCTTTTAAGTAGGTTATATATTGGATTTTTCCAAAACAGAATTATGTCAATGTTCTTGAGAGGATTGTTAAACATTGAACTCATTTGAGATTTTTTAAATGAACCTTTATTATGTTGTAAAAAACATTTAAAAATATATATATTGATATTTTAAAATATTTTTTAGTTAGTACAAATCAGAATAGACTTTATCCTTCTTAGATTCTTCTACTTATAATGATTTTTTGGATGACGGTGAAGTAATCATCAACAAATTCAATACTGAAAAATCAATCAACACTGTAGAAAATTGTGAAAGACACAATGAAGTTGAAACAACAACAGAACTTTTAGAAACACTTGTCATATCAAAGAAGAATAAAGTCATGTACATTGATCCAAATGACATTTCTTAATGAGAAGAAACTTGCTTTTATTCAATTGTGTATGTATGTATGTATGTATATACACATAATTTACTTTGAAACATCTACCAAAACATTTTCTCAAATATTTTGTATTCATAAAGTGAAATTTCTTCATGTAAATGTATTCTTACATTAAGATTAGATTATACTTACCCTTCTATGTATTTGGTATCATGTTCCAAGCACCTCATTGTGGTGGAAGACACAAAAAGCTTTGGAAAAACACATAACCTTGATTTGATTAACTTTAATGGAATGTAAAAACTTTAATGTAATGTGAAGGTTTGAAGATATCTTACCTTTCAATTTGGACAGTGCAATATCAGTTCAAGCAATAATAGAAAATTATTCAAATTGGAAAATGAAAGTACATACAGAATGTGATAGTAGGTAAATACAGTGATGATTGTGTGGTTGTTACTCTTAGAGAATAGTCTATTAATAATAATAAGTGGGTTTCTAATTTTGAAGCCACACAGTATGCGACTTTTCACAAAATATCCATTAAAATTTCTATTAATAGAGGAGTGATAAAGGATGACAATTCCATTGTTAAAAATACAGATATAAGTGCTAATATTAATAATTAAAATTTATTAAGGTTGATTATAGAAGCATTAGAGATGTAATTTAATATAGGTAAGTGTTTCAAGAACTTTATTAGGAAAATTTGGAAACGATTCCTTTAGTAAGTAGTTTACATGGAATCTTGTTGAAAAAAAATGTAAATATTTACTAATTTTCATATTCTGTTTATAGTATTACTCTAAATATTTTATTTTCTTAAATCTGAAAATCACTAAAATTGTAGTCAATGAAATAAATCTTAACATGCAAATCAAGAAGTATATTGTAATATATCAATGTACGCATGTATTTCATTGTATGTTTATTCCATTCTATTATGATAAAAACATACCACACAAAGAAAATTATATATATATATATA